GCTTGCAGCAGTGTCAGGAACAGGGCTGCCTTTGGAGGTGAGAGGAGATCAGCATTGAAGCTCTCCAGAACCTTGGGCAGGCCCAGCAGACCGTGGGGCTCCCCGTGCTGCCGCGGCAGGAGGAATGAGAGGAATGTTCCATGTGGGCTGGGCCACATGCTCCCAAAGGCAAGGGCGAGAGAGAGGAGCCTAGGGCAACAGTGAGACCAGCACAAGGCAGCAATGCCAGCTGGTGGGATGAGAGCCCCCTGGAGTGCTGCATCCAGGCCTGCGGCCACCAGCACAAGAAAGACATGGACCTGTTAGAGAGGATCCAGAGGAGGGCTGTGAAAATGATCGGGGGGCTGGAACTCCTCTCCTAGGAAGAAAGGCTGAGAAGAGAAGGCTCTGGGGAGACCTTATTGCAGCCTTTCAATACCTAAAGGGGGCTTATAAGAAGGATGGAGAGAGGTCCTGTAGTGGTAGGATACAGGGCAATGGTTTTAAACTGAAAGACCATAGATATGGATGAGATATAAGGAAGAAATTCTTCACTATGAGAGTGGTGAGACACTGGAACAGGTTGCCCAGAGAAGCTGTGGATGCCCTGTGCCCGGAAATGTTCAAGGTCAGGTTGGACGGGGCTTTGAGCAACCCGATCTAATGGAAGTTGTTGCTGCCCATGGCAAGGTGGTTGGAACAAGGTCTTTAAATTTTCATTGGAGGATTTACTTAAACTTACCATGTATCTGCTGGAAATACAGCACAGTGGAGAGGAAATAGTCTAGGAGGTGCCCGGAGTGTGTGGAAGACAACTTCCTGACACAGTTGGTGAGTGAGCCAACTAGGGAAGGCACCCCACTGGACCTGTTGTTTGTGAACAGAGAAGGACTGGTGGGTGATGTGATGGTTGGAGGCCATCTTGGGCATAGAAATGAGAGAGTTTTTGATTCTCACAGAAGTAAGGAGGGGGGTTAGCAAAACTGCCACCCTGGACTTCTGGAGTGCAGACTTTGGCCTGTTTAGGGGCCTGGTTGACGGAGTCCCTTGGGAGGCACTGTTGAAGGGCAAAGAAGCCCAGGAAGGCTGGACATTCTTCAAGAAGGAAATCTTCAAGGTACAGGAGCAGGCCATCCCCTTGTGCTGAAAAATGAGCCGGCAGGAAAGAAGACCAGCCTGGCTGAACAGAGAGCTTTGGCTGGAACTACGGCACTACTACAGCGTTTATGACAATTCGAAGCAGCCAACTCAGGACTACGAAGATGCTGTGAGGTTATGCAGGGAGAAAATCAGAAGGACCAAAGCCAAACTAGAACTTAATCTGGCTGCTGCCATAAAAGACAATAAAAACAGTTTCTACAAATACATTAACAACAAAATGAGGGCTAAGGAGAATCTCCGTCCTTTATTGAATGTGTGGGGAAGCATAGCAACAAAGGATGAGGAAAAGGCTGAGGTACTTAATGCCACCTTTGCCTCAGCCTTTAATAGTAAGACCAGTTGTTCTCAGGGTACCCAGCCCCTAAGCTAGAAGACAGGGATGGGGAGCAGAATGAAGCCCCCGTAACCCAACGGGAAATGGTTAGCGACCTGCTACACCACTTAGACACACACAAGTCACTGAGGCCGGATGGAATCTACCCAAGTGTACTGAGGGAGCTGGATAAAGTGCTCACCAAGCCTCTTTCAATCATTGATGAGTAGTCTCGGCTAACCAGCATCTGGTTGGCTGGAGGTTAGCAAATGTGACACCCATCTACAAGCAGGGCCAGAAGGAGGATCCGGAGAACTACAGGCCTGTCATCTGACCTCGGTGCCAACAAAGGTCACGGAGCAGCTCATTTTGAGTGGAATCACATGGCACATACAGGGCAACCAGGTGATCAGGTCCAGTCAGCACGGGTTTATGAAAGGTAGGTCCTGCTTGACTGACCTGACCTACTTCTACGACAAGGTGACCCACTTAGTGGATGAGGGAAAGGCTGTGGATGTTGTTTACCTGGACTTCAGTAAGTAGACTTTTAGCGTCCAGTTCTGGGTCCCCAGTTCAAGAAAGATGAGGAACTACTAGAGAGAGTCCAGTGGAGGGCTACAAAGATGATTAGGGGACAGGAGCACCTCTGCTACGAGGAAAGGCTGAGGGAGCTGGGCTTATTTAGCCTGAGGAAGAGAAGGCTGAGAGGGGATCTTATAACAGCTTCTAAATATCTTAAGGGTGGGTGTCAGGAGGATGGGGCCAGACTCTTTTCAGTGGTGCCCAGCAACAGGACAAGGGGCAACAGGCACAAACTGAAGCATGAGAAGTTCCAGATGAACATGAGGAAGAACTTCTTTGCTTTGAGGGTGACAGAGCACTGGAACAGGCTGCCCAGAGGGGTTGTGGAATCTGCTTCTCTGGAGATATTCAAAACCTGCCTGGACGTGGTCTTCTGCAGCCTGCTCTAGGTGACTCTGCTTCGGCAGGGGGGTTGGACTAGGTGATCCCCAGAGGTCCCTTTCAACCCCTACCATTCTCTGATAGCTCCTTATAATTTATACTTTTTCGGAATACTTGGTTTTCTATACAAAGTCACAAAAGCATCAACATACAAAAGCATCAACATTTTCCAAGTCGATTACAAAACAACATCAACTGCAATATAATTTTATACTGCAATGGCCCATTTTTCAGCCATCGTACCCTATCATTGAATTTATAATTTGGCCACCATCCCAAACCATTCTCTGACTCTGTGCCCATTGCCCCCGCCTCGCTGGCAGACGGTCCCCAGTCAAAAGGCGCATTGTGCATTGTGGCTGGGGCCAAGCCACGGTGCCAGCCGGGGAGCCAGCCGCCCCCTGCTAGCACAGCAGCAACCCACCGGCTCGGGGCTGGCAGTGTTGCTGGACACATGGGCTGCTGTTTGAGGACCCCCTGGCACCAGGACCTGTCCCTGGGGTGCACAGGTAAGCTGTCCATGGGGATGCTACGACCCTGCTCTGTCTGAGTGGGGTTGCGAGACCTGTGGCTGCAGAGCTCACTCTGCTGTCGGAGCTCCTGGGGAGTCTCCAGCGCTGAGCAATGGCTCCCTTTGGCTGCTTGCCTGCTTTTCCTGAGGTGGACACTGGTGTCCCCTGCTCTTGCTGAGCACTTGCTGTGTCACTAGATTTGGTTGTGTGGGGAACGAGGCAGGGAATTTTGGCCAGGGAGGGGAGAGGATGACTCAGGGGACTGGTTTATTCCCTTGCTGTTGGCTTTTCAGGAGCCCCCTTACCCCTCCTGTCCTGCTGTCACTGTTGCCCAGGAGCCCCTGAAGCATCGCAAGGCTTGCAGAGCCCATGGGCTGATGCCAGCCCCTGAGGCACAATTCCCGTACCAGCGTGCCCGAAAGAGCTAGTGGGACTGTGCTAACAGGTGGGAGGAGGGAGATGGCTCAGGGCAGCAGCTGTGGCCAGGTGAACCCTGGGAGAGCCGATGCCCCGGCTGCCAGGAGGGCAGCCCTAAGCACCGGAACCTGCAATTGTCTCCAGGCTGGGGGGTGTTTACTGCCCGCTGTTACAAAATACTTCAGCACCGGGGAGGTAAATGAGTCACTGGCACAACTGGGAATGACTCCCCACCAGCAGTTTCAATTGGTCCCTTCAAAAAGCTCCCAGTTCCCTTTCTGAGCCTGGTTCAAATACAAATAAACACTGAACTGGCAAGCACTGCGGGGAGCAAACGCATTTCTCCTCTTGCTCAAGCAAACCCTTGTCCCTGCCTGGCTCTGTGAAGACCCACCAGCATGCTTTGTCATGCCACTGGCAGAGGTGGCATGAGCGGTGTACAACTTGCCACCTCCTTCAGCACATCATATGGAGACCCCTTGGGCGGGGAGCATTCTGCCAGGGGTCTGCACGCCTCTCCCCACCACTCATCTTCTCCAGGTGAAGAGCACAACTCCTGCTGTCCCCGCTCACCCGTGCTCCTGCCCTGCTGGGACCGCCTGCAGAGCACCGCAGCCGAGCGCTGGGGAAAATGGTGTCAGGAGAAGACCATGGCATGAGGTACCCATCCCCAGGGAAGGGGCAAGAGAGGGAGGAGTGAAGGAACTGGCAGGCAAGCCCAGCCCAAGCAGGAGCCAGCTCAGGTTTAGCTCTGCCTCTGGCTCATTTCACTTTCCTGTCTCTGTTTCTTGCACGTGTGGAAGGGGACAGAGTTGCTGGATGAAGTTCTTTGTTAAGTGTGTTCAAATCAGCTGTTGAGAAATGTAGAGCCTTTTCTTTCAAAGAAAAGCTCATTCATTACATATCCAGCCTTGGGCCATTCTTTTCTACTGCTAACTATAAATAAGGATTATAATTCTGCATGCAATTAACAGTTTATTTGACTGAGTAGCTAAGCTGGCTCGATAAAAAGAGCTGTAGAGTATAGTTATGGTCACAGAAGTGACTTACAAAAGATGCTGCTGCATGTTCCAGCTCCATGTTTGTCTCACAAGTCCAGTCTGATTACTGAAAAAAAATGGTTTTTAATCTTGTTATCCCTCCACAGCCAATACAGGTGTGGAAGAGCAAGCTGGATTTTTATGTGCCTCAGCCTTCATTAGCACAACTGAAGCTAAAGTTTCAGTTCCCGAATCCTTTGTGGCACTTATCTGTCTAATGGCAGATACCAACCAGAGTAGGCAGGGGAAAAAAATCACATTTTGACTGTCAAATTGATGAGCAAAGAGTTTTGCAAGCTCTTGGCTCTCCTGTGCTGGTGAAGTGCCCCCACTCTGAGGTCTCCTACAAAAAAATCTCTGTGTCACAGGGTCATCCTTCTACCTGCTCAGTGAGGGTCTGTCACAAGAGCAAGGAAGGAAAGTCCCCTCACTTCAAAGCCACTCCAGCACCGGAAAGAAGCCAGTCACCAAGGTTATCATGTAGTTAGGACACCTCAGTCCCATGGATCTTGCCTCCATGCTTCAGCATGATTTTAGGGTGATATTAGATTCACACAATCGCCAGCCAGAGCTGCAGTGCAACCCATGGGCTTTGCTTTCAGGTGGCTTGGTTAGGCAGAATATCATAGACCTCTGCCACAAAATTTGACAGCAGGTCTTTTGTGTCCCCCCTCCTTGCTAGGTAAGGCTGGGGCATTGGAGCCAAGCGACCCTGCTATGGCAGCAGCAGAAGTCTCGCCAGACCCCTCCTCAGTGCTGCTGGATGTCGGGGAGGGCTTTCCACTAGGTAAGATGCTGCCTTTGGCATCACCCAGATTTCCAGTGGTGGAATGTAGCAAGGCTTGGCAGTGCAGCTAACTGACCCCCTGTGATCTCTTGAGTTTCTCATCTTTATTGCTGGAGGGGGATAACAGGCTGGGTTTGTATTGTCTGAGCATCACAACCAGGCAAGGCCTGGAGGCACTGGTGGGGCTGGCTGAAAAGAGACAGTGAGGCAGAGGCAGCTTTGAGTGGCATGGATCTCCTTCCCCCCCTTAACCATGCACATTTCCTTTCCAAGAGATTTCGCTCTTCTTCTCCATTGAGAGCCGCTCATCCCGGTGCCTCAATTCCCAGCTCCAGGAAGCAGCCAGAAAGAAGCTGTGGGCCCTGGAGAGTGATGACAGAGACGTCCGTGCCCTGTTCAAGGTGGGAGCCCCATCCTGGCAGGGCAGAGCATGTGCTGGGAGGCTCCTGGCATGATGGGATCTGTGATGAGATGCCAAACCCAGCTGAGAAAGAGACGTTCCTCCAAGGCCACTGCAAAATGTGTTCCTGCACAGGGGGACGCTACAGGGGACTGGAATGATGGGGGAAATGAACTTGTAACAGGTGAGAGGCAGATGCAAAGCTGAACCTCGTGTCAGGAGCACCATATTGGAAGCTCTGAGCTGCCTGAGGGATCATGCAGACAGTCCTGGTGTGAGTTGAAATAGGCAGCATTTCACAAGGCTGGGATCACCAAAACTGTGTGCCAGCCTCAGGTCCCCACTGGAGGTGGCATCTTTGGACATGCGCAGGGGTTCTCAGAGTATTTGACTTCACTTAGAAACATCATTGCATGTATAGTGACATTTCCTGGACAGAACTCTCCTTCTCTGCCGGTTTTTAAGGCCCTTGCCCCTCAGGGCTCCCTGCAGAGCTTCCTGGAAGACCTGGAACAGTAAAGACATACCAGTGCCAGCAATAGTGAAAGGAGAGCTTCACCCTCAGGGCACAGCTTCTGCTTTCAGCCTCAGAGCTGCAGTTTGGAAGCTATGCCTGTCCTGACTGAACATTAACCCATGTGTGGTATGGTTCGGGTGTCTGGGTTTCAAAAGCACAGTGGTTCAGGTGTGCGCTACAGGGGAAAAGATTTGGAGGAGACGGAGCTTCCTTGCTCTCCCACTGCTGCACTATGTGGAGTTGTCACAGTGGGTACTCCACCCCTCCTGGCTGAAGGACTCAGCTGGCTATATCACCCTCCCTGTAACCCCAAGTAGCCAACTCACACAGCTTCGTTCTCAACTATGCTAATAGATGAGTGCCCAGTCTCATTTCAGGTTCTAATATCACTTCCACACTGACAAAGCAGACCCCCTGCCAGCATCCCAGGACAGTCCCTTAATCTTTCTTTGTCTTCTGTGTGTAGGAGCTGTCAGCCAGGCTGGTCTGTATGCAAGCACAGGAGGATCGGTTCCTCCTCACTTTCAAAACCCTAGAAGAAGTCTGGAAGTTTTCCACGTATCTGACCTTAGGTAATGTTTTCAAGGTATGGGAGATCTAAACAGACAGTGTGAGAAGCATTTTTGGAGAAGGTATTCTTTGACAGAAAAAAACCCAGTGATGTAACAGGGTGAACAGATAAAGAATATGAATTAGAAGACCTTGGTGTCCATCTACAGGTTTATGAAACCACTGTCTGGATCAGTGAAAGAGACCCAGGAGGACACCTTTTGGGTAATGCTGCTATCGCATTTTGGGATGGAGACAGAATTAGAGGCTGCTGCCTCACAGCATGGTTGCAGATGGCAAACTGGAAGACATCCAAAGAGCACTTCATCCTGCACAGTGAAGGAGGGTGCTAACACTGCTTTCCCTGTTGGTTTCTTAGGGTATGTGGGCAGCTGCTTGGAGCAGCTTCTCTTTGACTGGGAGTACTGGCTAAACTGTGCTCTGATGGAGGACACAGAGGTCAGAGTCACTGTGGATGAAGTTCGCTTGGCCACCATATATATGGGTCTGCTACTCCAGGAAGGTGAGAAGGGACTGCATGTGTAGGGACTTCCTCAAAAGCACCTCAGCAGGGCTGTGTTGTAGCCCTGTGCTGGGCGATGTCTTGCTCTGATGCCATTGACCTGGGCATGACTCTTTCGATGTGCAGGTAACTTTTTTTCCAGAGTGGTGCCTGGTGTCCGGCAGCCAGAGCAGGAGGGAGAGGAAGGCCTGCAGCTCTGCAAGAATGAGCTGATCCACGTGAAGAACATTGGAGAAGAGTCCAAGTGGGAAGGGATGTCCTTACTGACGGGTCAACGAGGCCTGGTTCCTGTGACAGCTCTAGAGCCAATACCTCACCCATTTTACCAGTAAGTAGACTGGCCAGTTAATAGTGCTCAAGCCAAGTTTCTTTCCTGATCCTGATGCATGAGCTAGTGACAAACCTGGGGTGAGAAACTGCTCTTGCCTCTGGCAATGGGCAAGAGCTACATAACTTTGTGAGTATATACGTTATACATAAAAACAACCACTGGAACCAATTCAGGTCCTGTTAATGGGACAGGGGAAGGACATAGTTCAGATATCTTTCTTGTATGATATTGATCTAGGTCATACATAAGATTATTTGTGATTCACAGGTGAATAACTGGGAGAAAAAGCATAGCCCAAGACTTAGATAATATCAAAGTGGGTCCTCTCACTGGACAGCTGGCTGAGCCTCAAAGACACCCACAGCTCCTCTTGTACTCACACAGTGAAATCCTCCTTACAGGCTGACAAAATTAACCTGCTCTTACCATGTGGTGTGAGGCTGCAGTCACGAGGTGCAAACTTCCCCCCATGCCCAGTAACACCATTACAAGGAATTACCGGACTGGCCTTGCTGGCCATGCTCCACAGCAGCTCTGGCACTCCCATGGGACAGAACATCTGTTCTGCTTGTGTGAGATCATCCGTGGTGGTGGCCTGAGGACAGGACTGCTCAGAGAGGACCAGTGTTGTTCCCTTTTGCCTTGCAGGTGGTTCCTGAAAAATTATGCTGTGAGTTTTGGCTTCTCTGAGGAGATCAGCGGGACGACCTCTCAGCCAATTAGTGAGTGATAACTGTGCAACGCAACTGCCCTTCCCACAGGGAAGAGTATGGCTCTTGCAAACCTAGGTTTGGCCACAAATGCAAAGGGCCCATCTCTTGATCTGACAATTACATTCCATTGCAAGGTGCTGTAAGGGAATATTGTATATTTGGACTCTCTTGAACAGAGAGTAGAGCTTGCAAATTGCGTCTACTTAAAAGGGTGATCTGAAGAGCACAGAGCACAGAGGGCTGCCGGTGGCATCCTTTCTGCTGCTGTGTTTTTCTACTCTACTGCAATCTTATCTCTCCTTTAATTCCTTCAGGACTGAAATTTTAAATAATTAGGGTCTCACCAGTGTGCACATGAAACCTGTGCCCACCATTCACACACTAGCCCCAGACCATTCCTGCCTGGACATGGGCATTGTTCAGAGCACTCTGGACATGGGAGGTCACTGCAGGTGTGCATTTGGAGAGTACTGTGGTGGACATTTGCACTGTTAAAGATTTTAGTGCTGGCGGAGAGTTGAGACAGTGCAGCTTCTGTGAATCTCTGTGTTTCCAGCCACCTTGAATACTGCAGCTCTCAGAGGTTTCATTTTATGGCTGTGTGGCATTTATTCATGCCTCTTGTATATTTTATTATAATCCCCTTTTCAAGAAGAAACTGCAGAGATCTGAGTCTGAGAGCACAATAAATCTTAGGGGACAGAGAGGCAGCCTTCTCAAGCTGAAATCATGGTCACTCCTTGCCCAAGTCTTTTCAAGCAAGTAAGTTTTAACAGTGGCCTCACACTGAAATGCCTTTGTTTGCCTTGGTTTCCAGTCAAAGGCAGGTGCACAGCCACAGAGGACCACAGAGGAGCAGCATGGGATGAACTGACTTTCTCCAAAGGTGACAGCATAGAAGTCATCGGCTTCCTCATTCCAGGACTGCCATGGTTTCTGGGCAAATCCCTCAGCAGTGGGAGCATCGGCTTTGTCCCAACCCGATACATAAATCCTGAGGCTTGCGGACCTCTGTAAGTTTACTGCTACCACCCAGATTGATTTAAGCTCAGGAGAAAATGAAGGGAAAACTCCAAGTCCCAACTCAAGACTATGTGAAAGTCCAGGTAATTTGCTTTGCGAGTCTTTCACAGACGATCCATTTGAGGTTGCCCAGAAGCCTTTGGCCAGACTCTGCTGCTGAGAGGCTGCAGGAGCCTCTATGCAGACAAAGCAATGGTATTTCACTTGCCTCAAATTATTCTTGGAGAGGAACAGATTTGGCCCTGGGATAGACCTGGCTTTATGTAAAAGCACCCCAGGACATCTGTGTACCAAACAAGCTGGCTTCACAGTTTCACCTAGAAAAATTCTTGTCTTTTTAATATTGTCTGAGGGACTGTGAGTCTGGCAAGGGCAGGGAGAGCGATCACTGCCGAGGAAACCAAGTCCTGCTCTGCTTCCTTCTGCCCCTTTGCTTTCTGTGGGATGTTGAGGCAGAACGACCACTGGCATAGTTCCTCACTGGGCAGAATTAAACCCCCTCTCAAGAACATAGGCAAGAGTTATCTGGGGAGGGAGGGTGACACAGCCCCACTGTGATGACCCAGACAGTTGTCTTTGTTGGTGGCTTAAAGACATAGCTCCAGTTCAATACCCATCCTAAACGCTTCACCTCCAAGAGTGTACGTGGGAGGGCAGGGTTCTCAACCTGTTGCTAGGTCTTTTGGGCTTTCCTGGGACAAACTCACTGAAGGTAAGTCTTTGGCATTTTTCTCTGACACTACAGAGGAGATCAGATGATGCCTTGGCCTCAGAAAGGGCTTCTGGAGACAAAAAAGACCAATAGGTGGCTCCCTCTGACAACTATTGGGTCCTCCATGGAGAGGCTAGATCTGACAGCCCTGGTGGTGAAGGTGTCCAGATGCTGGTATTCACCTGCAGCAGAGCTTTTCTGGTGGGAAGAAGAGGAGAGATGAAAAAGCCCATCTCCATCCCACAGGACAGCTGTAGTGTCAGGGGATGGGGAGACACTGACTGTTTTCTCCTGATGTCTGCCTCAACCTAGGGGAAAGGGCACGGTGTTTCTGAGCGAGGAAGAAAAATCCCCCCTCCTGAGCATCCCCTGCAATGGTGGTGAGCAGCACTTCACTGCCCTCCTTGGTGACCTGGCACGCACTAACATCACCTCTGTGTACCGGATCGGTGAGTTTCCAGTCTCCTTACATGCCCAGCCCCATGGCTCCCCATGGAGAGCAATGCTGGGCAGTGTCTAGAGAGCTCCTTCCTTGGGGCTTTGCAGGGGAGACAACAGTTGTAGTTGAGACAGCCTCCAAGCCCTCTGCTCAGCCTGGTTGTGGATGGTGTAGATACCCTCAAGACTTGGGCCTTGCCGCACTCCAGTTTGCAGGGATCTCCTCTGCTTCCAAGGCAGCTCTTCAGCTGTGGTTCACCCTGACAGATGCTGCTCTCAACTGATCTTGGCTGTAGGTCCCTGTCTACAGCAGGTGCCATGCTGCTGTGTGACCTTTGGGTGTATATTGAGGGTGTATATTGCTAAAGTGGCAGGTGATACAGTCTCCATGCCCAAAGCAGGAGCCAGGAGGTCGGTGTTCGTGGGTGCTCCTCTCAGTTTCTCTATGCTTGCTGTGTGTCTTTTGCCCACAGCTAATTTCTCTGTCTCTGTTTCTTGCCTTCTCACTACCTAGAAGCACAATGTGGCCATGCAGGGATAAACCTGGGATCCCCTGGTGTTCAGGGGACCTCCCAGACCAGCCAGCTGAGGTGCAATTTGCCCAGGGTAGAGCCTGTCAGAGATACACACATATCTGAAACCTCTGAATAGAAACAACAAGGTTCTTAAGAGAGACCGAGCTAATAAAATTCTACCTTTGAAAAATAAGACCTGCTTGTTCCCAGGTAACTATAATGTTACTGGTGCTCACCCCACCACCAGCTAAAAGCTGTTCTCCATGGTCTTACATGGATTCAAACCCCAAAAGACAGAGAGTTGAAACTGCAGCTGCACGTGGTGTGTGCAGCCAGAAGTGAGCCTGCTCTCTCACATAGAGGTCTGGGTCTTAGCAGAGCAGCAGGAGATCTCTATAAGATTTGAGCACTGTGTGTGCACATTAACACTGACCAAGGCTTTGGGCTTTCTGTGTTCTGTTTCTTTCTTTGTGTAGATGGTTTTGAACCTACAGCCATGTTACCAAAAGTGCCATCAGGTGAGTATGTGGAGGGGACAGAATGGGATGCTTTTATGATGGCTTCTGAGGGTGAATTTTGACATAGGGAAACATCCCACTACGGTTTGTCTGTCCCTTCCAGAGGCTGTTCTCCATGCCTGTGAAGATATCCAGCTGCTCCAGCCCTGGGAGGAAATAAATGGCTTCGCTACGACTAGCACCTCGGAACTGTCTAGCCCAGGGACTGAATCAGCCCCTGCTACATTAGATGTTCTCCTGGAGAAGCTGGATGATTTTGATGATCCCAAGTTCTTTATTGACCTGAATGCTGGACACACCGAAGATGCAGATGTCTTTGACCCCATATTGACCTTCCTTAATCAAGACAGTTATGTGCCCAGTTATCAAAGCCTCTACGATCTCAGTTTTCCCTTTCTGAACTCCACTTTTTATGGTTTCTCTGATGAGGATGAACTGGTCTTGTACCTTGAGACGTGCAGGAACTGGGCCAAGAAGACTCATTCAGTTTGGGCTCATGTCAGGCTCTGTTTCCTCTTGGGTAAGCTCTGCATCAAAAAGGTCAAGTTCTCCCAGGCTCGAGTCTATTTTGAGGAAGCCATGAACATCCTGGACAGCGGTTTTGGGGACCTGCCCCTACTGGCTGCGTTGCATGTGAACCTTGCCTCCGTCTACTTGAAACAGAACATGAAGCACAAGTTCTTCTCCCTGTTGGGAAAAACAGCCGCCTTGCTTATCTGCATGCCTGGCCACTCTTTCAGCTCTGAGAATGAGCTGGAAGTCCTGATGTTCATCCTGAGGGAAGCCATTGCTGTGGGTAATGCTCCCTTGGAAGCACGGGTCTGCTTCCTTATTGTCAAGCTCTTCCTACAACTGGGCAAAAACGATGAAGTGCTGCCCTTTACCGAGCATCTTCAATGTCTCACCACCACTTTACTCAGCCCAGGCACTAGTTCTGTGCCACTGGATGCCACCCCCATCTTGAGCTACCTGTATGACAAGAAGTACTTGCCAAATATCGCACTGGCCTCGGCCAGGTTGGTTGTTCCCAGTGGCATCGAGGGGGCACCGACACCCATTTGGAGAGCTGGCGTCATCCTCCAAAACACTTCCAAACTCCTTGGAAGCCAACTAGAGAAGAGCAGCATCCCAGCACTGGCTTGTTTCTATCTCAAGCAAGCATTGCATTTCTCCTGCGAGAGCAGAGCTGTGCCCCTCCAGAGGACACTGTGTGCCATCTTGTCCAGGATGTACCTCCAGCATGGTGTGTTGGATGGGGCGGTTTGTTATGCAGCCACAGCCGTAACCCTCAGCAGACTAATGGGTGAGGAGGAGGCTTTCGAGTCTTCCCTCTCTTTGGGGTGGATGTATCTCCTGAACAGTCAGCCGGGCCCAGCTGCAGACATCATGTGGCAGCTCTTGCGTTCTCTGTATGGCACGGACAGTGTGACACAGGGGGGAGCTGTGCACAATCTCCTGGCCATTGCCCTCAAAGGAGAAGGGCAGGTGCAAGACGCTGCAGAGAACTACCTCCGGGCCCTGCACAAAGCCAAGGAGACCGGGAACAAGAGGAACCAGGCTATCACCCTGGCTAACCTGGGGCAGCTGAACCTCTCGCGTGGGGCGAGCCAGCTATCTGAGCTCTACTTGCTCCAGTCAGCTCAGCTCTATGCTGAGCTGCAGGGCAGTGAAGACCTGGAGATGGAGTTGGTGCGGGTGCTGCTGTGGCTAGCGCAGGCCATGGTGAACAGGCAGAGGATGGAAGATGGCAAACTCTGTTACGAACTGGCATTGCTTTTTGCCCTGAAGTGGCGTAATGTGAGGAGTGAGTACAGCTTTGCTGGCGGGAACCAGGGCAGCATTCGTCCGTATGCAACAGCACTCTGTCAGGTCCCTGGTGCAGCCCCCTGACTTATCCTTTTCCCTCCCCTATACCATGCAGGTCAGCTTCAAATCACTGAGTGTCTCTGCCATTTCTACAGCAAAGTGTCCCCCAATCTCCAGGCCTGCATTACCTACCACGAGCATTGGGTATCTTTGGCACAACAGCTCCAGGACAGAAAGGTGGAAGGCAATGTCCGTCAGACCCTCAGCCAGCTCTACCAGGCTTTGGGCACATCTGAGTAAGTAAGTCCTGTCTGTGGCTGTTAGAGAAAGAGACCTGGACAGACCACAGACTTTATTCAGTCTTTGAAGGCAAATGTGTCAGATAGTGGACAGCTAGCTCCCATGTCCCAGAAGGACAAATGGGCGGGGGCTGTCATTAATTTGGATGTTAACCTTCCCATGCTAGATCACAGCGAGTTCAGATGGAAGGAATTTAGGAAGCAGATGCTTGTCATGTGAATGGTGCTATTTAAGGTCACAGAGCACCCTGTTCCCCGGACTCGAAGGACAGCTGGACCCCAGTTGCCAGCAGGCGAGACACCAACCAAACGTGCCCTGGGCACTGCCTGGAATTCCCATCGCCACCGCTGCCTTCTGCAGGCAGAGTGTCCAGCCCCTGGCTCGTCCTGTAGTGACCAGCGGCTTGAAAAGGGGCTATAAGATCTTGCACATGTGGCCACAGATCTGGCTCTTTGGCTGCACCAAGGGACAAACAATAGGCAGAGATGTGATTTTGAGTGCCAGATGCTATCTGGAAAATGGAGGTGCAAGCACTCCTTGCCTATGTTCCCATGTGTAGCAGGGAGTGACTTTGGAGCTTAGTGTAGGGGGGCAGATAGGGTTTGCAGATAACCTGGACAAACCCCTCTTTGTCAGCTGAAACGACCAGGGGTGGGGAGCAGCCCCCTTGGGAGCAGGTTGCCTTGGGATTGTGCTGAGCACTGTGGTCCCAGGCTGCTCGAAGGTTGTCAGATGATACACAACGTGCACTAAAGCAGGGACACCTCCATGATTTTAGCAGGACACATTGCTAAAAGCTGTTACTATCCATTTATCTGTAACCTTTGGCAACTGTAGAAGAAGACAGGGTTGCCAGTGGGGGGGGTGTGTGTGTGTGTGTGTCTTGTGGTAGCTTTGCAGCTGATTGCTGGGGGTGTCCTGTGATTTCTCTGAAATATTTTTTTGCCTGTCACCATCACAGGGCTCTGAGACTGTCCCTGGACTGCACCAAACAGAGTCTAAGGATCTTCATTGACCTTGAGGAGACTGGGAAGGCAGCAGAGGCTTGGCTGCAGGCAGGAAGGCTCTACTATCTTATGCAGGAAGATGAGCTGGTGGAAATGTACTTTCAGGTATGGAGGAGGTGGCTGGAGTAGTCCGATTCTTGCCCTGGTAGTCCCACTCCCATCACAGCTGTGTGGTTTGTTAGGAGTGTTCTGGGGCTGCAAGACCTGGAAGGGAAAGTTATTATGAGCAGTGTAAAACTGCTGCTGGAAGGAGGAGTTGTTGCCTTACACTCATGCACTATCTGGCACTAAATTTCCTATCTTTCCTTCCATACATTGGGTTTAGAGGATTCTTGGGTGAAAGTTAGTGAATTTATTGAGTAAGAAAGTGATGTAGGAGTGCCAAATGAAACTGGATGTGCCAGGTGATCAGTTCCCATTGAAATACACATAGATAAGAGGTAAGGTGCTTGGGAAATGCTTGGAGACTTCTTAGAGTAGAAGACTACTGGCTTATTTCCATCTCTAGCATTATTTTATTGGATGAGCTGCAAAGAGCAGCTCATAAAATCTTAGGGCTCCCTCATTCAGGGAGCAGCTTCTATTAAGAGATGGGAAATCCTTTCCCATACCCAGAGTAAGCAACGCAGAAGGCTGACTGAGTCTGTTGGGGTTGCACTTAGCTGGGGTATCCCACAAAGCACCAGCCTGGACATATGTAGAGGATGTTTTGTGTCCTCACTCTGTTACCTTCTGAATTGGTGGGGCTGGGTGACTGAAGTACACAGTCAAGGAGAGAAGCTTTTGCCACCAGCCACAACGTCTGCCCCTAAATCAGGCTGGTAAAGACTGGGAGTTACTGGTACTGGGTAGCTGCTCAGTGACCTGGGTGAAGTGAATAGATAGCTTTGGCATCAGCCTGATTCCTAGAGTTTACAAGGGAGATCTGAGGCCCATGCCAAAGAGCCATCACTGCCTCCCTCATGGTGTTGGCAGGGAGCTGGGCGCTAAAGGAAGGGTGACGTGCCACTGAGAAAGGCCAGTCGATGCCAGATCTCGGTAGGGCATGTCTGAGTCCCTGAGGGGCCCCTTCCCAGGCAAGGTCACTGGCAATGATAAATTGTAATGGTGTAAGGAACAACATGATTTGCCTGGAAGGTGACACCAGGGCCAAGTGCATAATTGGCACAAATAACTGATCTTCCCAGAAGTGAGCATACCTGCCCTCCCTCCAGCTGGCTCTGCCCTTTCTGTAAATTGTCCACGCCCCTCGTCAATCTTCCTGTTGGCTCCATCACACCGTAACTACAGACCAGGGCCATGGTATCTGCTAGCTGTACTGTCTGAACTCTAAATTCTGATGCCATTGGGTAGCCCAGCTGATCAGTCCAGCGCACTGACCCTGCACAGGGAGGGGTTATCTGGTTCCTGGATCCATCCTTACACACCTCACTTGCATATGCAGCACAACAGTCCTGCACATCTGCTGCCCAACCTGTCTCTATGCTGTTTGGAGCACTGGAACTCACATTTACGATGACTTGGTTTTATTTAATCACACAAATGTCTGTGTGAAAATGTCTCTTTCCAAGTCTCACTCCAGTTCCTTTTCCTTCTAGGCAGCCATTCAGACTGCTCTGAAATCTGAGAACTTCTCCTTGGCCATGGAACTTTATGAAAAAGCAGGTGATACCTTTTTTAATGGCAGCCGAAACAGAGGTCGAGCGGTGGAGTTTTATAGGGTACTGATCCCTCCAGGCACTTCTGTCCTTGTGTTCCCTCAAGACAATGGCTGTGGGGAGCTTTGCCCCAGGGCTGGCTGCAGCACTGCATGGCCAGGTTGGAGAGATGAAGATTGGAGAGGGATGAGGTGGTTCTCAGCGTGCCAGAGTGCAAACATTGCTGCAGGGGGGGAAACCTGGAGCACAGATGTATTTTGCAATGGCTGCAGCTCACCCCAGAGATCATTAGGGAGGTGGGAACAGAGTCCTTACATTACAAATCCTGGCAGTGTTAGGTGTGAGCTGGTTGCTCCTGCAGACATGCTCAGAGTCAGAATTTCAGGCACCTGAAGAAAGGCAGAGTCGTGAGGGTCAGGTTTTGAGAACCACACTCTGAGATATGAAGCTCATTTTCAAGGGAAAGAAGGGGCTAGAACCTGCACCTGCAGCACTCAACCACACCACCATCTGCCTGCCATGCGCTTGGTCCATCTCCTGCTGCTGTGTCATCCCTCTGTGGCCAGTGCTGCACCCATACCTCCAGGAACAGCCTGGCCTCACTGTTCTTTCTCCTCAGGGAGGCGCTGTGCCCTTGGCCAGGAAACTAAAGGCTATTAAGACAGAGCTACGGCTGTTCAATAAGCTGGCAGAGCTGCAGATCGGGCTGCAGGGCTACGAGAAGGCACTGGAGTTTGCCACGCTGGCAGCCAGGCTGAGCATCAGGGTCGGTGAGTGATGCACACTTGCAGGGTACAGTGGTTTACTGGCTCCTGCGGGGGCGATTGTCTTTCTGGATAAGAAGAGTGTGCACATGAAAGGGGGATCTCCTGCTTTCATAAGACTGCCGAACCAATTGTTATCCTAAGGGGTAACATCTTTTTAAGGCCACTTTCCTTTTTAAGCTGCGTGAGAACCACATGGGAGAGCTCTGCAGTGGCAGTGGTAGGACCAGCTGGCCGGAGAGTTGTTGCTACACCGGAGCATGCGAAGCCTGATGAAGGCACAGGACTGAACAGTTCCTCTATGCCCTAGCTCTTCTGATAAACTCATCCCTTCCCATTACAAAAATAGTTTGAATGGACAAAATGCCAGCATAGATGTCTGAGGTGGAACCAGTCTTGTAGTAGCCTTTTTCAGCACCCAAGAAATGCCCTGGTTGAATGATATACTCCCTGGGCAATCTGTCCAGCCTTGATATCAGGAACCCTGCCCATGGCTTTGTTTTCTCTGAATCATCTTTTAACTCAGTGTCTTCTTACGAAGATATACATGCCCCCACGCTGTTGAGCAAATGCATCTCCAGGCAGCTCAGCATGCCAGGCTGCGGATGTATTGTGAGCATGCTGCAGGCTGACTGTATCAGCAACTCTTTTCCAGGAGATCAATTGCAAGAGCTGGTTGCATTCCACCGTCTGGCTACAGTCTACTATTTTCTGCATATGTATGAGATGGCAGAAGATTGCTACCTGAAGACGCTTGCCTTGCGTCCCCCCTTGCTGCAGTGCTCTGGAGAGGCCCTGTACTACTCCAAGGTGTATTGCCATCTTGGAAACCTGACCCTGCACAAACTGAAGGTAGGAAACCTCTTTCCATGATACTGTGTTGAGCACTCCGGTCTTGATGGAGAGCTGGAGTATCACATCTGCTGGCAGAGCAGCCACACGTAGACAGCTGCGTCCTGTGACTCTCCACCCTACTTGCAGTTTTAGAATAAATGTCCACAATGCTGGCACGACCAGGTTTTGAAAGGAGAAAGGCAATTTGAAAAGAAGTGCTGGCACTTAGCTGCGACTATATAGAGCCACTTTCAATGAAGTCAGATGTCACTGGGTTCTGCCTGGAACCACCGGGCATTCCTCTAGCTCTCTTATACCCTGTGACGTTCAATTAAACCACTTCCTAACGCCTGCTCTGTCCCTTATGGTTAGGATGAACAGGATGCAGCAGCCTACTTCCTCCTGGCCCTCGCCGCAGCGACAGAGCTGGGAGATCAAGAGCTGCAGGGCCTCATTCACGCCAAGCTGGGTGACATTCTTGGTGCCCCCCGGGGGCATGAGGGCACACTGGGCTGTGACACATATCGGCCCAGGTGGCTGAGCGAAGGTGGCCATGTCGTCTGACCGACCCACCACCCCAGGGACTCCAGTGCAAGTCATCAAGCAGTGTCATGCCATGCCAGTGGCATAGGTCCACGTGCTCTCCAAACCAACCAACCCAGGAGAGGTGCTGCACCACATCCTAAGGAGCTGGCAGCGTTTGGTCTGACAGGCAAGTGACCAAGCACTTGGGACCCTGCCCTTGTCTTTCAGGAGAACGCCTGTGCACCGCAGGCCAGGCAGCACAACAAGGCTGAAGGACAGATGGCATTTCGGGAGTGTGGCTGCCCTGCCCAGGACAGAGACAAGAGAATGGTGCCATATGCCTTCCTGTCCCACCCCAGTTGCCCCACACACCTCAGGTGCCATGGGGCAGTGGAGACTGACCCAAATGTGTTTTAACTTGAATAGAAACGCCTTTATTCCTATCTGGTTTCTGTGCTGTCTGCTCTGCGGAGGTCTGTGACCCATACCTCTGCAGAGCCTGGGGCCTCTTTGGTACAAAGCATCACCAAAGCTTTTGTCAGTGAGGGGCAGAATTAGAGACAGGAGGAGAAATGAAAGGAGCTGGTCAAGCTTCACCTGGGGATGAGCACCGTATGCAGGCGGGCAGCTGCTGGTGGCAGGGAGCAGAGCCCACACTCACCCCAGCCCTGCCATCAGCCTCAGCTCTGGCACTGGAGCAGCTGAGGTGACCTCTTCTGCCCCATAGCCCATGTGCACTTTCAGCATCTAAAGCATGAGCACGCTCTGGGTCCTGCATTGGAAAAGAGCCATCAGTCCCGACCCAGCCCAGGCTTTGCAGCCCAGCACCCTCCCCAACCTCTCTCTTCCAGGCTGCAGAGCCCTGCAGGATGCAGGAGCGCTGGGGAGCAGATTGTGAGGCTGGACGCACTGGCCTGTGCTATGGCACACATCCAGCCCCCTGGGTAGGGGTGATAATAGGGTGCAGGGAGACTTTTGGCAGGGAGAGGCAGCTGCACTGCCTTTGGATGGGCAATTGGCAGCCCAAGGAGAAGCCAGCTGCCCAGCAGGCCTTAAGCTGGTTTCAAGTGCCCTGAGCTACATGGCTGAAGGAGAAGCAAAAACTCTTCTGTGGAGCGAGCAGGGGGAGTGGGAGGCACGGAGGAAGCTTCTCCTGGGAGCTGCTGCCCAGCACTGGGAACAGCATGCGGCTCTCCTCCACAGCCCATCTTACCACCAGAGAGAAATAAATGCCCACGTTTGCAGCCTCATGCAGGTGAGTGTGTCTTCCTGGCTAATACTGACCTCGTTCTTCAATCTGGACAGATGCAAAGTAGAGGAATGAACAGTTTTTGCAGCTTATCTCTTTGCTCTGACAACCAGTGGCCAGACACCCAGCTGTGGCTTCACAGGGAGACCCTGTTGCAAGTCCTTACCCCTCCCTGACACGATCCATTGCTTGGAAATGCTAAATGCAGAACATTAATTTCTTTGCTTTTCTTTGCAAACACTGAGTTAATTTCCCCCTTCTAATCCCTGTGAGGCATCCATCACTGGGGCAATGAATAATTTACTGCTTATTTACCAAGAATTCTTCCAGTGCTGTTAGAGGAGCCTCAGACCTGTGTCCCATCCCAACATCTTGTGCACTCCCAGCCTACTTGCTGATGGGGTGCTGTGAGAAGCAGAAAAGGCCTTGATGCTGTGTAAGAACTACTCGGCAATAACTAAAACACCTCTGTGTTATCAACACTGTTTTCAGCACAGCTCCAAATCATAGCCCCATACTAGCTACTATGAATAAAATGAACTCTGTCCCAGCCAAAACCAGCACACCAGGGTGCCCCTTTGCTGATGCTGGGGAACACTCCAGGTCTGTCTGACTATAGCAGCCAGTCAAACACAGGCAGTACAGTCAGGGCAACAGGTTTCTTGTCCTGCTTCAGGCTGCATGGAACAGGTACAAGGCTGCTGGATTGAGACACCCCCCAGCCGTCCCCGGCTCATTTTCAGTTTAAAAGTTTTATCTAAATCTTTTGTCAATACGTTACCAAACAAGGAGCACTATTTTTGAATCCCGGGAGAGCATACTCCAACACAGCTGCACCTCAGCATGAAAAGGCCATTGAGTTGCTGGAGTGTGTCTAGAGAGGGGCAACGAAGCTGGTGAAGGGTCTGGAGAACAAGTCTTGTGAGTTGCAGCTGAGGGAACTGGGATTGTTTAGTCTGGAAAAGTGGAGGCTGAGGGGAGACCTTCTCGCTCTCTACAACTACCTGAGAGGAGGTTGTAGTGAAGTGGGTGTTGGTCTCTTCTCCCAATTTACTAGTGATTGGACAAGACGAAATGACCTCAAGTTGCATCAGGGGAGGTTTAGATTGGATATTAGAAAAAATTTCTGTACTGAAAGAGTGGTCAAGCATTGGAACAGGCTGCCCAGGGAAGTGGTGGAGCCAGCATTCCTGGAGGTGTTTGAAAAACATGTAGACATGGCACTTCGGGACATGGTTTAATAGGCACGGTGGTGCTGGGTTGACGGTTGGACTTCATGATGTTAGAGGTCTTTTCCAACCTTAATGATTCTATGACCTTTCTTCTCATCACGGGGTTCTCCCATTCAAAGGCAATGATTGTTTGGCTTTGTTCATCCACTGGGATACAAAAGAAAGCATCTTTTAAGTCCAAAACAGTAAAACAAGCATTTGTTTCAAGTACCGAAGCTAGCAGGGTGTAAGGGTTTGGTAAAGGTGGGTGTATATTCACAATTATTCAATTTATTACTCTCAAATGCTGTACCAGTCCACATTCTTCAGAGCAAGGCTTCTTTATTGGTAAAATAGGAGTATTAAGATTAGATGGGCATTATCTAAACAGTCCATATTGCATAAAGGTATTCATCAAAAGGTCCAGTCCTTTATGTGCCTCCAATCTAATAGGGTACTGATTTACCATTACCAGTCTTGCTCCTGGTTCCATTCCTAATTTAATTTGGGTTACATTTTTTGCTTTACCTGGTTTCTTTGAAGCCCATACCAGAGGAATTACCATGTCCAGTACTGTGTTTGGGATGCTTTCTTCGGCCTCCTCTGAGAGTAGATCTGTCAGCAGGTAAATTTGTGCTTTCCAGGCAATTTTGGGTGGGATGTGAAACTGCACAAAGTTCTCAGAAAAGGTTACTTGTGCACTTAGTTTACATAACAAATCTTGTCCTAGTAAAGGAAGGGGCCATTCTGGCATATATGGAAACTCATGAGTTAATTTAGTATTTCCAATCATACATTCTATAGGTTGTAGAAACATCTGTAAAGTTGTCTTTCCTGTTGCTCTAATTGGTGTAGTAACTTAACTGAGAGGCCCTTTGCAACTAGTTATAACCGAGTGGCTCCACTATCTATCAAGAAATCTATTGTTTCATTCCCCAGCTTTACTGGAACCAGGAGATCTGCTGGGGATGGTTTGATGCTCTCCCCTAGTCCTCTCGCTCCACCTCTTTTATCTGCAATTGCTGCAGCTAAAAAAGAAGCCTGCAATTTCATCCTCCTCCTCATCCCCTGCAAGACATACAGATACTTGTGCTTTTTTATCTTTTTTTTTTCCCTTCCCCAACACAGAAATACCAAATGTATCCAGGAGATGCCTTGTGGACACAAACTACACAACTTTCCTACCAAAGGTCTAAACCAAAATAAAGTTCTACTGCAAATCTTTAAAGCCTGGCTTTGTTACCCTTACAATCCCCCAGATTTTGTACACAAACACCACAAACTACCAAGTCCCTCCTCACACCAAGCAGCAAAAGAACAAAACTGAAATTTACTCTTAGGAGAAAATGAAAAACACATGGCTGGTTTAAATTCCTTGAATCAGACCATAAAAGTAAAGACAGATTAATTATCAAATTACTGTGGCAGTCATGAACAGTACTTATTCGATATACTCTAATCATGCTTTACCTTGTCTGCCTTAACCAAATCAAAGCAGCTGAAGAGGCAGATTTAGAACAATCTTAGAAGCAGGCTGCCACTGCTGATATACGTCTTTGCATATCTCTTCAATACATGGCATCAACAATAGTCTAGTTGGAGGCCTGTAACTAGTGGTGTTTCCCAGTGGTCAGTACTGAGCTCAGTCTTGTTCAACTTATCAATGACATGGGTGAAGGGACAGAGTGTACCCTCAGCAAATTTGCTAATGACACAAAAGTGGGAGGAGCGGTGATACACCGGAAGGCTGTGCTGCCATTCAGCGAGACCTGGACAGGCTGGAGAATTGGGCGCAGAGGAACCTGATGAAGTTCAACAAGGGCAAGTGCAGGGTCCTGAACCTAGGGAGGAACAACCCCATGCACTAGTACAGGCTTGGGGCTGACCTGCTGGAAAGCAGCTCTGCAGAGAGGGAACTGGGAGTGCTGGTGGGTGACAAGTTGACCATGAGCCAGCAGTGTGCCCTGGCTGCCAAGAAGGCCAATGGGATCCTGAGATGCATTAAGAAGAGTGTGGCCAGCAGGTCGAGGGAGGTTTTCCTCCCCCTCTACTCTGCCCTGGTGAGGCCCCATCTGGACTACTGTGTCCACTTCTGGGCTCCCCAGTTCAAGAAAGATGAGGAACTACTAGAGAGAGTCTAGTGGAGGGCTACAAAGATGATTAGGGGACTGGAGCACCTCTTCTACGAGGAAAGGCTGAGGGAGCTGGGCTTATTTAGCCTGAGGAAGAGAAGGCTGAGAGGGGATCTTATAATAGCTTCTAAATATCTTAAGGGTGGGTGTCAGGAGGATGGGGCCAGACTCTTTTCAGTGGTGCCCAGCAACAGGACAAGGGGCAACAGGCACAAACCGAAGCATGAGAAGTTCCAGATGAACATGAGGAAGAACTTCTTTGCTTTGAGGGTGACAGAGCACTGGAACAGGCTGCCCAGAGGGGTTGTGGAATCTGCTTCTCTGGAGATATTCAAAACCTGCCTGGATGCGATCTTCTGCAGCCTGCTCTAGGTGACTCTGCTTCGGCAGGGGTGTTGGACTAGGTGATCCCCAGAGGTCCCTTTCAACCCCTACCATTCTCTGATA